TGACCATAGCTCAGTCGCATTCCCCCATGATGGTGTTCCTTTGTGAAACTAGACAAAAAACAATGAAGATGAGAAGAATTAGATCTCGTCTCGGTTTGAAGGGTTTTGAAGGGGTTGACGGGTGATGCTTTGAGTGGAGGAGTTGCGTTGTTCTGGCACAAAGTGTGTGTAGTAGAGGTTTTGGACAAAGACGATCGTTATATTGATGTATTGGTCAATCTATATGTTGATGCAATACCGTGGAGAGTTACTTTTGTATATGGTGAACCCCGTGTTGAAAATAGACATTTAATGTGGACTAAGCTCCGGGGACTGAAGAATGTCAATGACCGGTTGTGGCTTGTTATTGGTGATTTTTTAACGAAGCTCCATGGGACTTGAGCATCTATCCAATACCCTAGACCGGAACCACAAATGGTTGCTTTTCAGGACACGCTTGAAGTTTGTGAACTTGTTGATTTGGGCTTCAAGGGCTGCTGCTGGTAATGTTAAAGTACATTTGGACAGGGCGACGATTACTAATGCATGGCACGGTATTTTCCCGTTCTATCAAGTGCAGCATGTTGTGTCTCCTTGTTCTGACCATACTGCCTTGGTATTGAAAGGAGAGCCTGATGCCGGTCAGGTTGGCCCAAAAGTTAGGAGATACGAGGCATTTTGGGAACGTGAGTCCTCACTTCCATAAGTAATCAAGATGCATGGGAGTCTGTTGGTGATGTTGATAATCTGGACAAGCTCTAGGAAGCTCTTTAGCAAGACCATGGCAACTCTAGGGCGTGGAGCAGTAAGAAGTTTGGTAACGTGGCTAGAGAATTAGCCAAGGCGCAGTTCTTTTGCCAGAATCCGACCCCTACCCAGCTTCTTCCAAAATCTTTCAATCCCATTTGTTTTACAATCCTATCTAATTAGGTCCTAACTATATAGGATTGTAAAACAAATGAGGCTCGGAGATTCTGGGAGAAGCTAGGTAGGGGTCAGATTCTAGGAGAGTCCCCAGATTCTGGCAAAAGAACTGGGCCCAAGTCTAGGTCCCAGCTCGAGGAGCTTATGAACATGAAGGCTGACAGAGAGGATATTAGGAGAATCATGGACAAAATGAATGAGTTGATTTATCAGGAGGAGATGATGTGGATGCAAAGATTAAGGATTACATGGCTTAAGGAGCGCGATAGAAACACTAAATATTTCCAGAGTAAGGCGATTTGGAAAGCCCGGAAGAATAAAAGAAGGGAGCTTACAGATAGCATTGATATTGTGCATTCTGATTTTGATGGGATGGCTAGCTTTGCAAATGATTATTTTTCATAACATTTATGTTGTTGATCCATCCCTGAACACGACACCAATTCTTGATCGTTTGCTAGAGTGAAATCAGCGATTAATGAGAGACTATGTGCATAGTTTACAGATAAAGAAATATCAAATGCCCTTTTCTAGATTGATCATTTCAAGGCTCCTAGTCAAGATGGTTTTTTATGACATTCTTTCAACGTAATTGGGGTACACTCAAGGACGTGTTATTTGCTCTATTAATGATTTTCTTCAGAATAAGACTTATGTCGAAAGGGGTAAATTCTACCTCTATAGTTCTCATTCCAAAAATCCCTAACCCCGTTTACATTGTGTGATTATAGGCCAATAAGTTTATGCAATGTCATTTATAAAAGTGGTTTCCAAATGCATTGTTAATAGGATATGACCATTGTTGGATGATTTTATCTCTCTATAGCAAAGTGCTTTTATTCCGGGGAGGATGATCATGGACAATACTCTTGTAGAGCTTGAATGCATTCACTATATTAAACAGGAAAAGGTCCTACCCAGAGCTTCCGTGCTTACAAGCTTGATCTATCAAAAGCTTATAGTAGAGTAGATTGGGTGTTCTTGGAGCAGGTGATGCAAAAGTTGGGTATCTCTCGCTAGTTGGTGGACTGGATAATGTCTTGTGTCACGTAAATGAGGTTTTTCGTCAAATTAAACGGGTCCCTCTTGGATTATTTTCCACCGTCGCATGGTCTTCGGCAAGGAGACCCTCTCTCTCTCTCTCTATTTTTGTTCCTGTTTGCGGCGGACGACTTATTTGTAGTTCTCACACACAATGTCTCAGTGGGCGATATCACTCCTCTCAAGGTATGCATAGAGCACCTAGTTTTTCACACGTGTTGTTCGCTGATGATACTATGTTATTCTTTGAGGCATCTCGTGGCCAAGCAGAGAGGGAGGGGGTAGCTTACCAGCTTCGAGGTGGGGGGAGACATGGCAGAGAGGAGGATGGCTGGACGGAGTCGAAGAAGAAAGGGAGAAGCAGCTGTCGCTGCCGGGGAGTGCTCCTGCCGCCTCTTGCCGATGCAGGGGAGTGTCGCAGCCGCAGATCTGAGTCGTCGCCGCCACCGGTGCCAACAACAAAGGAGGGCTTGTCCTACAGCTAGAGGTGAGTGAGTAAATGGGGTGGTGAGGGTATATTTGGCGCCACCCCCACCTCGGCTGATTTTCCCCTCCCTCCATCTCCGCCCGCATCCCCCTTGCACCACGCCCGATGTCGCGTCTTCGTATTTCGCCCCACTTAGCCTGGCTCGCTGGAAACGGTAAATTCGAGCGTTCCCAGCGAGCCAGGCTCTAGGGTGCTTTAAGTTCCGTGCAGATGCGAGTCAGGTCGACCTGCAGGCAACCAAACGGTCCATTTTCATCCTGCACGGGCCTGGTTGGGCTATGCAGCCTACCAAACGCGCCCTAGTAGTATACGTGGCCATGGGCAGCCCGGCCCAGACGGCCTGACCCGATCCGGCCCGAAAATCCCGAGCCGAGCTGAGCCCGAGCGTGCCATCGGGCCTGAAATTGAGCCAGCTGGGCAGGTCAGGCCAGGCTCGGGCTTGCGCAAAACATGATTTTAGCCGTAGCCAGGCCGTGCCGGGCTTTTACGGGCTCGGGCCTGATTTAGTAGGCCCGACGGCCAGGCCGGGCCGGGCTCGAGCCTGGGTTTTCAACACCGGGCTTTTTTTTAGTCCGGCCCGGCCCGAGGTATGCCCAGGTAAAACTAGTATAGTAGTATAATTTTGGATTTGTTGTTTGGTTTCACTGTTCCATTTGCCTCGGAACGCACTCCACGCGTTCTGCACCTGCCAGGTAGAGACGTGGCGATAAGTCGTACCGGCGAACCGCAGCCGCAGCCGCAGCCGCGCTCCCGCGCGCACTCCACACAGCCACAGGTTCTTCCACTGCCGTTGGCCGCCGCGGGATCAATCGACGCGCCATGGATCCCCTCTCCCTCCTCGTCCCCCGCGCGCGCCCTTCGCTCCCGCTCCCGCTCCGCGCCGCCGCCCCGGCCATCAGCAGCGCCAGAGCGGCGGCACCGGCCCCGCGACGGTGGCGGCAGCGCGCGCGGCTGTCGTCGCCGGTGTCGGCCGTGGCGGCGGAGGCGCCCTCGGCGCCGTCGCCGTTCGGTGGCGAGGAGAAGGAGAAGGAGAAGGAGAAGGAGAAGGAGGAGGGGCAGTTCGAGTGGCTGGACCAGTGGTACCCGCTGGCCCCGGTGTGCGACCTGGACCCCGGCGCGCCGCACGGCAAGACGGTGCTGGGCCTCCGCGTGGTGGCCTGGTACGACCGCGCCGTCGACGAGTGGCGCGTGTTCGACGACGCCTGCCCGCACCGCCTGGCGCCGCTCTCCGAGGGCCGCATCGACGACAAGGGCCGCCTCCAGTGCGTCTACCACGGCTGGTGCTTCGACGGCCGCGGCTCCTGCCAGTTCATCCCCCAGGCCCCCGCCCTCGGCCCCCCTGTAATCACCATTAATCCCCTCTCTTTCTTTCTTTCTCCCTCGATCGATCAGAAAACCAAAATGGAAATGGATTGCGCGGCGCAGGTGCACAAGAACAGCAAGGCGTGCGTGGCGTCGTACCCGAGCGTGGTGCAGAACAACATCCTGTGGTTCTACCCGAGGGCCGACGAGGAGCACCAGGACATTCTGCAGAGGAAGCGCCCGCCATTCATCCCGGAGATCGACGACCCCTCCTTCGTCACCGTCTACGGCGTCAGGGACCTCCCCTACGGGTACACATCCTCAACCTCCATTCCATATATGCGGGCGGCAGCCTCCCTCCATTGCAGAATCTCACAGCTCACTTGATACCCTTGTAGGTACGATGTGTTGGTGGAGAACCTCATGGACCCTGCACACGTCCCCTACGCGCACAAGGGGCTGATGGGCAAGCTTCGCAAGAAGGAAGACCCCGGAAGATAAGCCCCTGCCCTGACATGACCGACACGGCCGAGTTCATCAGTTCACACTGTCACTGAATGGGTGTGTTGATTCAGTTGTTGTTCTTCTCTTCACAGTTGAGTTCGACGTCGAAGGCGGCGGGCCAGTGAAGATGAAGATAGTGGAGGCGAATATCGCCGGCTTCCTGTCGGAGCAGGACAATAGCGGCTACTTCCGGTATGTCGCGCCATGCACCTTCTACGGCTCGCCCCTCCCCAAAGAGGAAAAGGGAGAGGTATGAATCGATTGATTGGGCAGACACATTTTCCATCATTGTTGCCGGTGCAAGCAAAACTTGCAGCACCTCAGAGGAGAACAAACAGGGGTTGTTCAGAAGTTGACAGTTCGTTCTTTTGGTTTGTGCAGGAGAAGAAGAAGAAGCCGCCTCAGTTCATGCTGGTGTTCATGTGCGTCCCGGTGTCTCCAGGGAAAAGCAGGGTGATCTGGGCGTTCCCGAGGAACGTCGGCGTCTGGCTCGACAAGGTCATACCGCGGTGGTACTACCACATCGGCCAGAACGCCATCCTGGACTCAGACATCTACCTCCTCCATATCGAGGTGATGATTCTTCAGCTCAAGCTCAGTGATTCTGAATTTCAGAGCCTTGTCCAGGATATGGAGCTCAGTCAGCAAGCAAACCCGCTGTTCTTCCCTCATTTCAGGAGCGCAACTTCGCCGCGGCGGGCGTCGAAAACTGGCAGAAAGCCGTGTATGTGCCGACGTCATCGGACAACATGGTGATCGCCTTCAGGAACTGGTTCAGAAAGCACTGCAAGAGTCAGGTCGGCTGGGCCGCCCCAACAATCGGCCAGCTACCAGAGACTCCAACCAAAGACAAGCTCATGGAGAGGTACAAATAATGCAACATTCTAACTCTTCTCCATGCCAAACCTGAATACCTGAGGATTCAGTGAACCCCATCTGAACGAATTTTGCGATGGCGTCCACAGGTACTGGTCGCACGTTGCGCAGTGCAGGAGCTGCAGCGCCGCGCTGAAGACCATGAAGGCACTGGAGGTCGCCCTGCAGGTCGCTTCGGTGGCGGTCGTCGGGTTCCTCGCCGTCGCCAAGGGGACACTGGTGACGTCGGTCGTGCAGAGAGCCGCCGTCGTGTCCTTGGCCGTGCTGTGCTTCGCCGCGTCCCGCTGGCTCGCGAGCTTCATCGAGAAGAACTTCTATTTCCAGGATTACGTCCATGCCTACAAGTGAAGGCCATAATCCTGCGCCTTCCGTTGCTAGGGTTTTGTAGCTCCTGACTTGATGCAGCTTTAGAAAGTGTACATGAAGCACATTGCTTTGTTTGATACCGATAGTAGCTGTATATAAAAGCACCTAGTTTTTTCTCTTCAAACCAAAACCGGTTTCCGATTTTCACTCAAATCCAGTACATAAATGCTAAATGGGTGACAAAAGGAAATTAAGAATTTTGTATCAAGTACCAGGTGCTATTACCAGGCAAATCAAGAAACTTGTTGCCGCAAAACCATACAAGGAACAACAATATAACTTCTTATTGATATATGATTGGTGTTTTCAAAAGCACATCCAGGTATTATTTCACTTCACAAAACTACCAAGTTATAAAAGGGCAATACATCTTAATGTCAGTGTGTACATCGCTTCCCCAAAACATGTCTATAAGAAAAATCGTGTTGTTGGTTACTGAATTCCTGGTAAAACTGGATTCCCTTTTTGAGGAGGCGGATTCAGAATTATGTCTATGGCCTAGCAAACTTATCTAAGGTGAGTACAAGTCGAACCCCATTTCGGAGAACAAAGCACCATATGACACCACCCTTAGGCCCTGAAATGGAAAACAGTTCCAGTGAATTTTTACAAAGAAATTAGCTATCAAAGTACAGACGACCCGCAGCATTCATGTTCAGAACAATACAGCTTTCTGGGTAATTAAGACTTCCATCAACTTACCTAGTCATATATGAATCATCCACAGTACTAACAACGATGTTCTCACCCACTTCAACAAAAGGCGGGGCCTGCAATTGGCAAAAAGTTGATGCAAGTGAGAAATACTTCAAGCTGCAGGACTATCAAATTTCTTGGTTTCTAATTTTAATATTGATAATTAAGAGATTGCAAAACAATTAATGAATAAAAAAAATATGGCTTTTCCATACACCATTCCACAAAGGTCTATGTAAATATACTCTACGAAATGGTACCCATCAACTTACAAGCACTGTAAGGCCATTATCCAGCAAGACCCTCTTATATCTGCATTTAGTACAAACACAAGTTTAGTTACCGCATAACACCAGGCCTCAAACAATTGATGATAAGAGATGATGAAGCTGATCAAAGGGGAATCTGCAATGCGCATGTGCATGGATACAATTCCATAGTGCGTGAACTACTGTTTACTGCTTTTGCAGGGATTTTTGTTATGAAACTAGCTAATCTGTTGTTATAGTTCTGCTGCATGTAACTCGTAACTGCTCCCTCCGTTTCTATTTTCTAAATATAAGCCTTTTTAGAGATTCATTACGGACTACATATGGATGTATATAGACGTATTTTAGAATGTAGATTCACTCATTTTGCTCCGTATGTAGTCCATATTGGAATCTCTAAGAAGATTTATATTTAGGAACGGAGGGAGTACACAATTAACTTTCAAGTTTCTTCTCCGGGCATATAATTATCCATCAGGTATGTTCACTCCAGACAAAAATATCACATTATGACTAGAACACTAAGGCTCACTCCAAGCAATATATGCACCAATAATATGGAACATATTACTCTATTACCATAACTTCATTGCTGAGCATTTGACAAGGGTGCTTATTTCGAGCCGCAAAATATGAGAAGTACCCGGTGTATCTACTTGGACTTGACTTACTATTCAACCCATAAAAGGTATTGGAACAATGAATAACCCAAAAACTCATCAATACATAATAAATAGATGCTGCAGAAATAATAATTAATTTGATGATGGAAGTAATATGATTTTTTGTTTGAGCAAACGCAAAAGACTTTTGTGTTTCATTATACTGAAAAGGAAGAGAGTTTGTTACAACCTCCTAAGAGGTAGGATTACAGGCAAAATGAGGAGGCACTGTGGAACTCACTGAGGTGTAGCAGTTAGGCCTTTTGCATTAGGCTGTGCTTCAACAACAGTGCAAGTCACACGAGGAGGCACTGAGCCAGACAACGCTCGGCCATCAAAGAATTGTAGAGTTACCTTCATCTCATCTGAAAAAAAAATGATATTGGAAATTTGAGTTAAACGGTCTCAATCAAAATTTAATTTAACCATTGTCTTTATTTCGATGAGATCAAATACATTTAAAACCATTTTGACAATGAGCAGAAGATATCAATATCGAGTGAGTCATGTACACTATCAGTGCAGGAGTGAGTGAGCCTCTTATGTGCTGACGTCTTTATTGTTGCCAACGAATTACGAAAAATGCACATGTATCGGATATGTTTAGGCCCGCTAATACATGGCATATATACAGATCACAATTATTTGTAAGGTAAAACTTAAGTGTCCCACACATTATATTAATCGGAATTGATAATTTTGTCCACTGTGATCATTTAAAAGTAATTATTATGTCTACAGCAGCACTAACTTGCATATATGAGAGCTACAGGACCAAAAGTAAACAAATCATCTAACTATTCAAAGGTAAAACACAATCACGTTCTTATAATCTAGTATTGATAGCAATTGGTGTTCTTCTGGTTGTCAACTAATACTGTTTGGACCTTTCAGATATGCAGCGTTTTTGCCAAACAGTTCCTTCGAAACCTCGAGTTGCTCAAACGTGTTAGGCCTGACAAAAAAAAAAAGGATTCCAGATGAAGTCATTACTACATGGATATTAATAAAATATAGACAGCGTCACACAACAGCATGTTAATGAAGGAATGACAAGAAAACAGGGAAATAAGCATACTCCATAAGTGCCACGTTGTCTCCTTCCTGATACAGATATGTGAAAGGCTTATCCTCAACAAAAACTCCTGAATGTGTAAAGAAAATACATAATGATTAGATTTCCATTATGAACACGACTGTACGCTTTCGAAATATAAATAACCAAACTACTGTTATCAACTTATCATGACTGTGCCTTACGAAATTCCCACTGGACTAGATATTACTGGAAGAAAGTTGGGTAGCCACTAGCCAGGAGTTTGTCAAAAGCAGGTTAATTTGGCCACCTTCTGGCAAAACCTAGTTCCATACGGTGCCACCTTCTTTTTTCTTCAATTATTATTGATATAAATATATGATGCATTTATGAGCAAAACTAATGTCGAATGTCGCCCAAATCTTGGCAAATAAATGATACATATCAATAATAATATGAGGTGCTGATTGTAATACTCCTAAAAGGCTGGTTAACGCATCCAGCTTCTATAATCATTATCGTTATTTGAGTTGATTGTAGATGGTCATCATCTCAACTTTGTTTGGTACCTTCAGAGCGGCTAACACTGCTCGAGTATTGAGACATGTATGATTGGGGCAGCCCCAGTGCATGTAGCTCCCGCTTGCGCAGGGTCTGGGGAAGGGTCCGACCACTTTGGGTCTATTGTACGCAGCCTTTCCCTACATTTCTGCAAGAGGCTGTTTCAGGACTTGAACCCGTGACCTCATGAGACATGTATGATTGAATGCAATAAAACACACTAGAGAAATTATTGCTCAGCTTCGTAAGATGTAACCAGAAAAAAAGGAAGAGAAGCCTATGATAAATTGCACAGGAGCACATTTTAACAAGGACGGGGTACAAATAGCTACAGAAAGGAAACCAGACTAAAACATAGAAGCGTATAACTTAGTCCTAGAATGCCTTTGTTGGGAAGAAGTGTTCGTACTCTCAAGAGCCTCGTCAGTACGAAATCTTTCAACTATTTTGTTACCAGTGTCAACATCCCTCAGTTCCACCTGCAGCAATCAAGAGTTGAGAATAAAATTCAGATTGTAATGAAACAAATGACAAATTTAAGCTCCAGTTAAGTCAAGCACATATAAAAAAAAACATCCACCTGAACTTAGTTTCGTCATTTGAGGGGACATTTTGCATGGAACTGCAGGCATGCCATTGGGGCAACAGTGAATCAAACTATTCATATGTATTCTTGGTGCCTAGCTGTTTATTTCACTGTCCTTGCTATTACTCATTTACAAGTTATTCCTAAGTTATCTTTTCGTTGTTGACATGTCCTGTTGCTGTTGCTAAAATAGGTACTCTAAGATGAGAGCATTTTGTGTGATTGGATCTGATAACATAGATGCAAGGAAAAATCTGGCGAGTAACAAGACCAACATTAGCTTGCCACCATGTGAAGTATGCAGAGTTATGTGGTGCAGCAGATTGAAAGAAAGAAACAAAATAAATGACCTGTATTGTGGCTCCTCCTCTTCCTTGATGTGAATGATGCGATTTTATCACCTGAACAGAGGACATTCAAGTCAGAAATGATAAGAGTGATTGCTCTTACTTAGTAGACCAGAAACATAGGTGAATATAAACCATAAAGCTTGAGGAAATATGGAGGGACATAGGACATGAAAAGCAGTTAAACGCACCTGATAAATGCGGCCTTGATTTATGGTTGGCCCAAAAGATGGATAAGTAGTAATCCACGATATTAAAGCTTGAGGAAATATGGAGGGACATAGGACATGAAAAGCAGTTAAACGCACCTGATAAATGCGGCCTTGATTTATGGTTGGCCCAAAAGATGGATAAGTAGTAATCCACGATATTTGGAAGTAAAAAACATAACACTAGAGATGTAATCAGTTAATCACACACCTCTTCTCTGTATCACATTTCCAAGTTTGACCTACACATATGAGGACATCTCAAGTCAATGCAAGCATCATTATGCGCTTTCACAAAGATTAATAAAATAACAGAACTGAAAAGGCATTAGCAAAATTAAGACCCAGGATCAAGATGCCAATGAAAATGTACACCATAAGTTGTTTAGCAGTTATTTTTGGAAAGCTGGAAGCCTCCCTGCTAACTATAACTGTAGAAAACAACTCCGAAAGTAACTTCTGAATGTAGCATCCATGTCAAGCCGATCGATCAAACACTAAAATACTTGCCTAAATCTATAACAGAATAGGCTACTGGATACACATCCTGCACCAGTGGCACTATGACTGTTGGTCGCATGGGGAATTTCCACCACGATTTTGAGGACCCCAAAGTAGAACATAAAATTTGAGCGTTTCACAACAAAGAAACACAAAAAATTGCAAGAAGCATCACATGTCATTTGCACGATCGCTAATGGACATATCAATGGAACCACTGAACAAAATAGCAAGGAACTGCTCCGTCTGCCAAGAGAATTCTCCCACAAATTCGCTACAAACTGAACAGGGCAGCAGGAGCCATAACAGCCCACGAGCCTAGCAGAATCCTAGCTAAACCCTGTGCGGCCACGGGCCAAGAGAGCGGACGCGGGAGCGAGGGGGCAGAAGGGGGATTACGTCGGAGCCGAGCATCTTCGCGCCGCGGCGCTGCGTGGCGGCCCACGGCGTGGCGGCGAGGGAGCCCGCGGACGGGTCCCGCCGGGCGGCGGAGAGGGTGGCGACGGCATGGGCGTGTGCGTGGGCGGCGGGAGGTGGAGAGTGGAGGAGGAAGGAGAGGCGGCGGGAAGCTTCGAGAAGGTTCCGCCGGAGGATCTGCATCGCGAGGTCAGGCTGGGTGGTTCGCCGTCTGCGCTTTCCCGGCGCCGGTAGGTTTGGAATGGAGTGACCACGGATTGGGCCCGGGCCGTGGTCCGGGCGGGCCTAAGATGTGGGCTGAAGTTGCGCTCGAATGGAAAATGTTCCATTTTTTCTCTTTTGTGGTGGATCACCAAATCATCAATCGAGGAGTACTCACCCTCAAAAAAATAAAAAATCGAGGAGTACTAAGTGGCGCGCTGCATGTGCTCACTTGTCGCAACTTGAGAGTTTTTTTTTCGTAGATCCGTTTATTCAAAATGTTTTATCTCTTAAACCATGCGTCCATATCTCGAACCGTTTTCACCATTGGATTTCTGGCATCAAGATCTTTAAAACTAGATCTCATGTTGATAAATTTTGACGAACTTTTTTCCACGAAAAAACTGAATCGGGAGCATCATTTTTTTCGTTTTCAAAAGTGGCACGATCGTGCCTCTCACAGAATCACAACCGTGCCTCTCGCAATAGCAAAACCACGACTCTCGTGGAAGAAAAAAAAAGAAGAGAAAACGTGTTTTTTTCGTTTCCCAGGAGGCACGGTCGTAACTCTCGCGAAAGCACAACCGTACCTCTCGCGGAAGCAAAACCATGACTCTCCCGAAAGGAAAAAAAACAGAAAATGCGTTTTTTTCGTTTCTGAGAGGCATGGCCACGACTCTCACGAAAACACAAGCGTGCCTCTCGCGGAAGCAAAGCCATGACTCTCGCGAAAGGAAAAAACAGAAACACGTTTTTTTTATTTTCGAGAGGCACGGTCGTGACTCTCGCTAAAGCACAACCGTGCCTCTCGCGGAAGTAAAACCGTGCCTCTCGCAAAAGAAAAGAAAAAATCAGAAAATGTGTTTTTTTCGTTTCCGATAGGCACGGCCGTAACTCTCGTGAAAGCAAAACCGTGCCTCTCACGGAAGAAAAAACGTGACTCTCGCGAAAAAAAAGAAAAGAATAGGCGTTTTTCGTGCAAAAAAAGTTTTGTCAAAATTTTTTTTGATCGAAAAACTAAGAAAGACCGGTGGAAAACTAAAACGTCAAAAATATCCGTTTAAAAAACCGACTTGCGGAAAAATAAGAAAACAAAATCCGGAAGGAGCGCCCAGAGCGCGACACGTGGTGAATGACTGAGAGCGCATCAAGTGGCGCTGATCGTTGCAAGGCTCCCGAAGGAGCGCTTGTTAACTAGTTGCTCTCCGTGGATCAGCTTTGCATTCACATTTCTTTCCCTAATAATCACTACTGCAGGATGGTCCAAACGCGACAGTCGAATCAGAGACCCTTCAATGAAACGGTGTGCGATGCATCAATCATAAAATGGTGATGTAATAAAACCATCAAAAAATATGCAAAACGTTTGCGATGGCGTCGACATCAAACACGGTTCATATTAGATGTGCGTGCGCGATGAGTGGCAAACGTTTAATCTAGAAGAACTGTTTGCGATGATGAAGAACAACAGTAACGGGCATACACATGAGGGTGTGTGCGATATACGGCATACAGTTCGGTTGGATGAACTGTGTGTGATTAGGCAACACGATGGAAATGTTTCAACTGAATAAGATGTGTGTGATATGCAAAAAACAGGTCCGTGATCAGAAATGTGTGCGAAGACCAATAATAACACAGACGATTGCTGCTAATAACCCGTGTGATTTGCTCTATACAAAAGAATAACATGTATATATATAACTGAAATAAACATCCAATTACATGAGTGACTATACAGATCATTCACACACACCTCAATAAACAATTGCATGCATCTAAAGTAGGAGAAATGATCGTCTAGTCATCCACTTCTTGTGACGCTCTCGCCACTGCTCTGTGGCTCAATCCCTCGTCTGGGGCATGAAGAAGACACTTACTCATGTCAACGATCCGCCTATACATCTCGTAGCTTGTGTACGCGTCCTTGACAGCGTACTTGACGTGTTGTTCATCCAGTCTCTCATGCCAAACAATGTGTCAGGCTTTCTTGTCCTTCTTACTCTCATCCTTCATCTTCATGTAGTAGGGGTCGATGATAGCCGAGGCGAGGTCAACCAGGGAGTTCAGTTTGTTGTTGTCGCTGCCCAAGACCTTGTAGTGGTCCTGGATGTTGACAAGATTCCGGCATTTCAATCTCGAAAGCTTGAGCACTTTTAGATCGTTGGTGGTGTCCACCGTAGCAAAATTGTAGACGGAGCTGTTGATAAACCTGGAGAAACGCTTGCAAGGCCTTGTGGCCAGGTGGTAGTGGTAGACGAGGATGTCATGTTGCACGCACAACTGGGCGACGACAACTGATGACCCACAAGTATAGGGGATCTATCGTAGTCCTTTCGATAAGTAAGAGTATCGAACCCAACGAGGAGAAAAAGGAAATGACAAGCGGTTTTCAGTAAGATATTCTCTACAAGCACTGAAATTGTAGGTAACAGATAGTTTTGTGATAAGATAATTTGTAACGGGTAACAAGTAATGAAAGTAAATAAGGTGCAGCAAGGTGGCCCAATCCTTTTTATAGCAAAGGACAAGCCTGGACAATTTCTTATAATGAGAAAAGCGCTCCCGAGGATACATGTTTCATCACGCTCATATGATTCGCGTTCGGTACTTTGATAGTTTGATATGTGGGTGGACCGGTGCTTGGGTATTGCCCTTACTTGGACAAGCATCCCACTTATGACTAACCCCTATTGCAAGCATCCACAACTACAAAAGAAGTATTAAGGTAAACCTAACCATTGCATGAAACATATGGATCCAAATCAGCCCCTTACGAAGCAACGCATAAACTAGGGTTTAAGCTTCTGTCACTCTAGCAACCCATCATCTACTTATTACTTCCCAATGCCTTTCTCTAGGCCCAAATAATGGTGAAGTGTCATGTAGTCAACGTTCACATAACACCACTAGAGGAGAGACAACATACATCTCATTAAAATATCGAACGAATACGAAATTCACATGACTACTAATAGCAAGACTTCACCCATGTCCTCAGGAACAAACGTAACTATTCACAGAGCATATTCATGTTCATAATCAGAGGGGTATTAATATGCATTAAGGATCTGAACATATGATCTTCCACCGAATAAACCAACTAGCATCAACTACAAGGAGTAATCAACACTACTAGCAACCCACACGTACCAATTTGTGGTTTTGGATACAAGATTGGATACAAGAGATGAACTATGGTTTGAGAGGAGATGGTGTTGGTGAAGTTGTTGATGGAGATTGACCCTCTCCTGATGAGAGGATCATTGGTGATGATGATGGTGATGATTCCCCCCTCCCAGAGGGAAGTTTCTCCGGTAGAACAGCTCCGCCGGAGCCCTAGATTGGTTCCGCCAAGGTTCCGCCTCGTGGCAGTGGAGTTTCGTCCCGTAAGCTTGCTTATGATTTTTTCTAGGACAAGAGATTTCATATAGCAGAAGATGGGCACCGGAGGGCCACCAAGGCCCAGGAAACATGGGCACGCCCAGTAGGGAGGGGCGCCCCCCACCCTCCTGACCAGGGTGTGGGCCCCCTCTGGTACTTTCTTTGCCCAATAATTCTTATTAAATCCAGAAATAACTTTCATGGAGTTGCGGGACATTTGGAGCTGTGCAGAATAGGTTTCCAACATTTGCTCCTTTTCCAGCCAGAATCCCAGCTGTCGGCATTCCCCCTCTTCATGATAAACCTTGTAAAAATAAGAGAGAATAGCCATAAGTATTGTGACATAATGTGTAATAACAGCTCATAATGCAATAAATATTGATATAAAAGCATGGTGCAAAATAGACGTATCAACAACCTTCTGATCATGCCCGGCACGACCGATGGTGTACTCGAGGTCGAAGCCGACCACTTGGTACTTGTTGTCGGCAAGGAACTACTCCATAGTTTGGATGGAGCTCTCCACCGGCGTCGGATCATTTGTGTACACCACCGAGAGGGCCTTCCTTCTCACATGGGTGTCCACTACGTGATGCGTGGTGAACTGCTCGCCGTTGTCATCATCGGCCGCTGGGAGCGCCATTGGAGCCACGGGGATCACCATTGGAACCGCTGGATGTCCTCTCTGTATGTGTCGTCGTGGGTGTGCTTATTGTGTCGTGTGATACGAGAGATGAAGGTAAACGGCCGCAGGAATAAATGTGGGCCGGACGGCCTGGATTCTCGGCGCGTCCGCATGGCAGTTTTTGCAGCGTGTAGCTACATTGTCGCGCCGCGCCCGGCACAACCGCATGCACACGAACGTGCGTGGTCGTGCGGCGGCCCCAAACACTGGCAGCGCGCATGGAGGGACGAGGGCAGAGCACCCGGAGGGACGCGAGAGCAGAACTCGCGCGGCGGGACGCGAGCAGAGCGCGCCGCGACCGCCTCAAGCGCAAGCAACCACACGCATATAGCAGTTCAACACGCAGGAAATGGTCGCCTATAAGCCGACCGACACTTGCGTCGCTGCGTAGAGAGCGGTTGTGTGCTACTACCTCCGTCTTGGTCTATAATCCCTGAAAGATCATGGATGTCGCCTAGAGGGGGGGTGAATAAGCGTTTTAAAATAATTACGGTTTAGGCTTGAACAAATGTGGAATAAACCTAGCGGTTAATTTGTCAAGCACAAAACCTACAACAACTAGGCTCACCTATGTGCACCAACAACTTATGCTAAGCAAGATAAGCAACTATGTGATAGCAAGATATATGACAAAGAACAATATGGCTATCACAAAGTAAAAGTGCATAAGTAAAGGGGCTCGGGTAAGAGATAACCGAGGCACGCGGAGACGACGATGTATCCCGAAGTTCACACCCTTGCGGATGCTAATCTCCGTTTGGAGCGGTGTGGAGGCACAATGCTCCCCAAGAAGCCACTGGGGCCACCGTAATCTCCTCACGCCCTCGCACAATGCAAGATCCCGTGATTCCACTAAGGGACCCTTGAGGGCGGTCACCGAACCCGTACAAATGGCGACCCTTGGGGGCGGTCA